AAGTTACGGGGTATATAGCACGTATTCTGCTCTGGATCAATCCTTGGAGTTTCGGTGCATTTATTACCCAAATCAGTAAGTACTTCAAACTCTCAATGACGAACGGCGTACTAATATGTCACAGTTGCTATCACTCAAGCTCCTGTTTTCTACTGTGCCGCAATCTATGTCACCCTTGGCCAAAGGTATGATTATCACTAGGCGGATATCACCAATTGACTGACTTTTGTCCAGTATTGAGCATTATGGACCAAGCCTTGCTCGATTTCCCACCAAATACTTCGCCTGGGTATTTGTACCCATGGATATCATCTCGCTGATCTTGCAAGGTACTGGAGGAGGTCTCTCAGCATCCTCATCCGGTGCTAGCCAGATCGGTGTTGATGTCGCCATGGCAGGACTGATTCTACAAGTCATTATGCTGGTCGCATTTAGCCTCTTGTTCGGTGACTACATGTTTCGATACCTACGGTCGAAGAAGTCTCGGAATCTCGGGTCAAGAGACAAGCTGTTCTTTGCCTTCCTCGCCATTGCAGTCCTTGCTACTTTGGCTCGTTGTATCTTCCGTGCCGATGAGCTCAAAGAGGGTTACCAAGGGGAGCTGATCAAGCATGAGGATCTATTTGTTGCTTTAGAAGGGGTGTAAGTCTAATCTTTCTATCTGCCATAGGTCATCTTAATACTCACTGATGTTTCTAGATTGATTGCTGTGGCAGTCTTTTCCCTCTTTATTGCCCATCCTGGCTTCGTCTTCAACCGGCTAGCGGAGGTTTACTACTCTGTTGCTACTGGCACTGAAGCCACTGACGAGATGGCCTATCGATCCAAGCTTGCGGATCCTGTCAGTGAGTCAGAGCACTAGGGTTGTCAGAACGAGCATGGGCCCAATACCCAAGGCTAGTATTGTCTGTGTGATCTTGGTGGCATATCTCGGGTTAGAAGCAGCATACAAGGGCGATGGATTATATGGCAGCAGTATTTAGCGATAGTAAGATGATATTTGTCTAGACTTGTGCCATTCCTCACGAATTGTTGGGAATGCTGGGCTTTTGAAATGTCTCTTGGTACGATAGATGTATAAAGAATATATACTGGCACTTCCCGCTCCTAAGACCACAGTTCCAACTATTCTTTACCTCTCCAAGCAGAAGTATTCGGTAATCTCTATGGACGAACCTTTACGGCGACAATCTTAGCACCCTCCGTCTTGGTCCCATCGACAGGCTTCGCAAGTGCACCCGACGTGGAAACATACAACGTCTTCTCCCCCTTCTTCCCATAACTAAATGCAGCAGCCGTCGATCCCGCAACTGTCATCTCGTGAATACCGCCAACGACTGTTTTCCACTTCCCAGTCTTCACATCAACAAAAACGATCGAATTGTCAAAGTTGGTAGCCGCATATATATTGCCATTCTTGTCGAACTCGAAGTCATCGAAGAACCCAACGCCGCTCGAAAGATCTGCGACGAGTTGAGGCTTGGCACCTTTTTTCGGGTATCCAGCTGGTGTGATCGCAATGCGGTATATCTTGACAGCGTTGGAATTGGTGAAGTACAGGTAGTTGTCGCGGACTTTGATGCCATTGATTCCGAAAGCATCAGCTGCGATAGGGGCCATCTCGGGGAACACAAATGCCGAATCGTCAAAGACACCCGTAGTTAGGTCCAGGCGCCCGACGAACCCAGCGACAGAGTCAGACACTAGGACAGCATCTGACCTGCCGGGGATAGCGGCAACACCGTTGAGAAAAGCGCTCTTCTTGGTCATGTCGCTGATCTTTCTGACCTTAACCTTGGGCTGGTGTCGTCGGTTGGGAAACTCGATAGCCCAAGCTTCAAAGGTTCCTGGCGTCAAGTGACTAAGAGCAGTCGCTTCACTACCAACAACAATGAAGGTCTCAGGCTTGCCAGGGCTCTTGGGTACCTCCGCGATACCGAGAAGCCCGGTGATGGAGGGGAAGGTGACCAGCTCTTCAAGGCCAGACTTGCAGTCCGCTGGGTTGACGACGGTATAGACAGTGGCTGAGGGCCAGAGTTCCGTTGCTAGGAGATCTCCATTGGAGCGCACGGCAACATTCTCCAACCATGTGCCGAGAGGAAGTTGACTAATTGTCTTTGCAGTGAAGGACGAGCCCAGGGCGACGGCTGGGAAGGCAAACAAACCTAGAACAGAATGGACCAACATGTTGAAGGGTACCGAAGATTCAGTTGTTGTTCTTGTCTAGTGGCAATAAAACATGGAGAGGCTGCAAGCTATATAGATTTAACAAACCCCCTGGTCTTTCAGCCGCAACAGTCGTTACTTTGCTCGATGTCGTGTAGACACCAAACGACGCCTGCATTATAGCCGAGATTTGGTCCTGGAACAATTCAGCAAGTTTAATTGGATCTAGATAATATTCTTCACGGTTGGATGGCTGAATGTTTGTTGACTAAGTCTGACAAGCGATGCTGAATAATGGCGATTTGACTTTGTCAGCTCGGCTTTGCCACATGTTGTTGGTTGAGAGATGTCGTTATGGAGTAAACCCTACGGTTTGAGTCAATTAGCCCTGGCTCTTGGTCCAATTGAGAATCTGCAAACGGCTTAATCATATCCTTAATAAGCACACTCAGTATTTATGTAACGGTTTCTAGATGTGCACAATTTGCATAAACCTCTCACGTGACAGTCAGCACCCAATCTAATTAAGTATGCTTAGAGAGTCTTCTGCACTCACGACCAGAGTTCAATTCCCCGTTGAAGATAATATATAATTGCTTGCTTTAAGTTCTTCTTCCTCTATGAAAAATGTCGTGCTGTTCTTAAATATATGTCTTATTTCTACTCTTTGAGATTTGCCCTTTTTCCTTATTTCCCTATTTGTGTACAGAACAATCTGCATAATAATCGGGTATAATCTTTTGCTCTAGACGTCGGAATATCTTGTGTTTAAAAACATTCCATGAGCGCAATATCTGCTTATCTACTCCGTAAAGAAGGTATTTCTTTAAAACTCACAGTCTACAATAGACATTCCCCAGAGGCTGGATGTGATCAGACTTTTTCAACGACATGTCAAAGCAAGTCTGTCTGTAGGGTAATTCTCATCCCGCTCGGTCCTGCTCGGTGCTGTTTGCCGAGATTTCCCGGACAAGTTCGCGTCACGTCTGGTGCGACGGGAGCGTCGCACGTGACCATTGAATACCGAGTTCAGCCGACAAATGGTCCGATGACTCCGGCTCAGCGCTCTCAGAATGATCGGAGTCTAGTCCCCTTTGGGAAAGTTCAATCTGAGACTTCATAATTCGCTTGACTCTGATTTGTTGGATAATTGTGTGAAAGGCCTCTGTTGAAGCAAATCCGCGGAAATCTCACAACGTCCCACTATAAAAATGGAATCTTCAGAAAGCATGCTTCATCCTGGCATCTGGCGATGGGTCAAGGATGACAAAATCAAGTTTCACGAGCACGAGCACGAGCAATGGAAATTGTGCCGTTAATTGACTATATATAGTACGAAGACATGCCGGCGCTTTCAGCATTTCTCTGCATCACCCACTCAGAGATTAATTCATTCTTCTTCTATTCCAACTATCCATCATGTCGTTAACAACTTCCCAAGTTGACATTGTCAAGTCAACAGCCCCTGTACTCAAAATTCATGGAGAGACTATTACATCCTTATTCTACAAGAACTTGATTGGCACCTACCCCGATCTCCGTAATATCTTCAACCTCAGCCATCAGCACGACGGCGCTCAAGCCAAAGCTCTGGCTGGTGCTGTGCTTGCGTATGCCACCTATATTGATAAGCCCGAATTCCTGGCGTCTACGATTGAACGTATTGCCCAGAGACATGTCAGTCTCAAGGTTACGGAAGATCAATATGCTCTTGTTGGCGAGCAGCTTATCAAAGCCATTGGAGAAGTGCTGGGCGATGCCCTCACGGATGACATCGCTGATGCGTGGACGGCTGCCTACGGTCAACTAGCCAATATCTTTATCAACCGTGAGAAGCAATTGTATCAAGAGGCCGGCGAATGGGATGGCTGGAGGAAGTTCAAGATTTCCAAGCGCGAGAAGGAAGCAGATCTCATCACAAGCTTTTATTTGATTCCATCTGATGGAAAGACGCCCTTGCCTTCGTTCCATCCTGGTCAGTATGTTAGCCTCCGAATCAACGTACCCGAGCTTGGTGGCATCTTTCAATGCCGTCAGTACAGCATGAGTCAGGCACCTCACAGTGACTACTACCGAGTCAGTATCAAGAAGGAGAGTTTTACTCTGGAAGGAAAAGACGAATCTTTGCCCGGCACCGTCTCCAATCTCCTACATAACCACTATCAGGTTGGAGAAGAGGTTGAGATGACATATCCTCGTGGTGAATTCTGGCTTGACATCGAAGATGATAAAATGGCAAATGAGCCTCTCATTCTAATATCTGCGGGAGTTGGTGTTACACCTTTGATGTCCATGCTCGAGTCAGTTCTTAGCTTGCCTCGATCGAAGATGGCAAACAGACCTATCCTCTGGCTCCACGCAGCTAGAACATCACAGGATATGGCTTTCCGTACAAATATTCGCCGTGTAGCAGAGGGCCACGAGAACGTTGAGACTCTTATCTGGCTCAAGAACCTGTCCCAAAACGATAAGAAGGGCGAAGACTATGATTTCGAGGGGCGACTAGACCTCGATGCTGTGTGTCAAATGAAGAACGAAGAACTGGAAAACAAGCAATCTCAATTCTTCATTTGTGGACCTGCTTCTTGGATGGTAGCAACAAGGAACAAGTTACAAAGTTTGGGGGTTGAGCATGAGCAAATTAATATGGAGCTCTTTGGAACTGGCAGTATCAATCAGGAGTGAGGGGACATATGATGAGAAATCAGATCCGGCGACAAAAAGATAGAATGTAGAATTAGATAATTAACCACCTAGACTTTTCCTCTCTAGGATATCCTCCCCAAGAGTTCTGAAGACGCTAGACAGCAGCGGGGTTTGAGACCACATATACTTCAGACTTGGAAAACGACCTTTTGGACCTTGGACTCGTTGAACAGTTCGTAACCTCGAACTGCATCTGAAAGTGGGAGAATGTTGTCGAATAGGAAGCTGTACTCAGTCAGTTCAAGCTAGGCTCCTTGTATCCTTGACTCGAGAGTATACATACCTGAGAGAATCCTGTTCTTGCTTGAGAACTTCCATTGCCTCGGAAAAGATACTTCTGACTGGGCACCGTCCCATCTGTAGACGGACATTTTTGCTAGACTGAATTAGCTAAGGTAGAATAATAGGACATTAAATCTCACTTATAAGCGTCGCTGCCCGACCAAGGGATCTATTACCTGTTAATAATCCATCGATGCATAGAGTATCATGACACATACCTCTGCGTTATGGACACCAATGCTGCTGATAGCACCAAATGAGCGAACTAAGTCAAATGCTGTTCGGAGGGCTGGCGAGAGACCGACCACTTCCACCACTATATCAGCGCCTCTGCCACCAGTAACAGACTTTACGCGCTCAATCATTTTATCCCTGCTCTCCATGAAGTTCAGAGGCTCGGCACCAAGTTTCGCTGCCTGATCAAGTCTGCTTTGAACACTATCCACAGCAAATAGATGCTTTGGCTTCAGCACTGCCGCAGCAACAATGGCGCATAGTCCAACGGGACCACAGCCAATCACCGCAATAGTTGAATCTCGCAGATCTAGCTTCGGCATCATCTCAACTCCGCTCTGGACACCGAAATAACCAGTGGGGAAGATATCCGCCATTAGGATAAGGGCCTGGTCGTGGATTCCTTTGGGGGCCTTGATCACAGTACCGTCTGCGAATGGTACACGGACATATTCTGCCTGAGCTCCGTCGAGATTGGGAGAACCAAGGGCTTGGCTCTTGATACATCGTGCTGAGCCACCGTTCTGACAGTAGTAGCACTCGCCGCTGTGCACTGTTAGTATTTACACTTGAAATTATCTCATTCCAAGAAGATAACAGCAGGAAGCCTCACCAAGAAGCAGTAAATGGGGAGACGACTTTGTCTCCAATCTGCACGGTCTTGACCTCAGAGCCCAAAGCAACAACAGTACCTGTGAATTCGTGACCCATGATAAAATTCGGTTCTGTTGGTTCAACGCCTCGGTACAAATGTAGCTCTCTGATATCTTGTTAGCCCTCCATTTATAGGATGTTATTGCCAGGGCTACACACGATCCACACAAAGCAGTCATGTTGACTTTTACAATGATGTCCTGAGCATCCTGGACTTGCAGTAGTTAGTTTAGTGTGATAAGAAAACACATTGAAGATTTCGTACTCTGAGGAACAGGCCTGTCTTGCACAGAGATCTTGTATGGGCCGTCAAAAACGACAGCCTTCATCGTTTCTGAGATTGCCATCTTTGCAGGATAGGGGGAGATAAGAGGCAATGACAATTTATAAAAAGCAGTTATTTATTTATTTATCACGCGATAAATAAAGTGACAGTAATAAATGCTTTAAATAGAAGTCGTTTTTAGATCCATTAAGTATGCCCATTCTTCTACTTTATGCCAATGATTATTTCTGCTGCGGCCGGAACTTTTAGATCTCCTAGGAAATCCCTTAACAATTTTGATCCAATTAGCAGCGCGTCGTGATAGTCATGTGAGCGGAACTGTCTCTCTCTCAAAATAGAAACGGAAAATATCATAAGATGATTGGCGAGAGCCTAGTAAATCTCCATTATTCACGTGCCATTTCTGCTCTCTAAACTCCGCGGAACTTCCATTCTCCGCCATCAACCATGACCCAATCAACAAAGCATTACTTTAATGGCATCAGGAACTCAGACTCGCCAAAGCCGTCGAGCTTGTGAGCCATGTCGGTAAGCTCAGTGCTATTATGAAGAAAAAGAAAGTCAGCTGACATATAAATGTAGTCGCAAGAAGTCAAAGTGCACTGGAGAGCGACCGATTTGCTCATTTTGTCAGCGACTTCAGCTTCCGTGCAAGTATGCCGCACGGGGAAGCTCGTCGCAGGACAGTACCGCGAAAGCCCAGAAAGTTCAGAAGTCAGGCTATTCCCCTCTATTTTCAGAACTCTTGCCTGACAAAAGTTGTAGGAAATCCACCAGAGACAGGGTCCAGGTTCTTGAGTCGCAAATAGCGTCCTTATCTGAATTACTTGGGTAAGCCGAAAAAGCCCGAAGCTATATGTCTATGAGTAATAACCAGTCGCATACTAGTTCGCGGACAAATGGAGAAGCTCATAGTTCTGGACCTTCGCAGCCACTCCGTTTAACGACAAGCCCTGATGGGAACCCATTCTTGACTGAGCAGGCTGATCCGAACGAGCAACAAACTGTCTTTTTCTCAGAAGCCCAGTACGGCTCTTATTGTACTCATGGACTATAAGCTTGACTAATCTTGGTGTCAGATCTTACCCGCCAAAAGATGTAATGATTCACTTTCTACAAGTCTACAGTCAGAAAGTGCATCTTCAACCTCTACCATTGTTTGACCTCCCCACCCTGGGAGAGAGACTCAATGACGCCCCTCAGTATTTTCTCTATAGCTTCTTAGCCCTTATGCTCGAGTTCACTACTCATGAGTACTTTCGGAATAATCACGCAGAGGCATCGAGATATTACAGCCGCTCGGCAGCTACTACTATACAGCGACTTGCTGCTGAAGGAAAGCATCACGTTGGGATTGTTCAAGCTTTATGCATGATGGCACTGAGAGATATTACAGGGAAGAGAAATGTAGTTTCCTCCGATGGATCTCACTAATGGTTCTATAGTGAGCGATTTGTCCAAGGCATGGATGTCCATTGGCACAGCGACACGACTGGAGAGTGTCCGCAATCTGTGGGAAAGTAACTTAATACCCAATGATGAATCAACAGAGGAGAATAGATGCTACTGGAGTATTTATATCATTGAGGCAGTCTTTTTCCCTCACATGCCTAGGGCTCCAACACATGATCAGACTCGAAAATACCCTCCCAGTGTTGAGCCTCCGCCACCAATCCCACTGGATGCGGACGATTTTAATGCACCAGACTTCGATAACGCTGTTGGTTCATCAGATGACCTAGGAATCAACACGCACGCGGGGAGAATGATAGCAGTCTGGAGTCAAGTCGCTTGCCATCTCCATGAGATCAGGCGTGGAGAGGTCCAGATACCCTGGCTGCCAGAGTCTACATACTCCAAGCTCAATCTTGCTCTGTTTGAGTACGAGGCTCAGTTTAACCAGAGACACCTGATGAGGAGCCTCTTCCCTTTTAAGAGATCTTCAGACGAGATTAAGGCATGCCCAGAGTATTGGAATCCATGGTTGACCACGCATTTAGTATTGCATGCGTCTCTCGCCTTATTGAACCACCCTTTCATTCACTTGGTGGCTTTACGCCGCAATAAAGATATGAGCCAGTCCAGGCTGTTCTTACAGCAGGTCGTGGACCAAGCCCTCTTTCACTCTGGGTGGGTATTCTGGCTTGTTGGAATATTTGAAGATTTGAACATTGAGATATACAATCCCCTCATTGGACTAGCTGTTGCAGCAACATCGACAATTCCCTGGCTCTACCAATTCGTGAAGAATGCCAAGGTTGCTTGCAAAGCCAGCCAGAATTTAGCCAAGGGACAGAGATTGCTACAGCGCCTGTCTAAGACGTGGCCATGCATGTCACAAAAAGTAAGCTCCTCCACTGCGAACCCTGTGTTTACTAACCGTAAGCACCAGCTCGAAAGCCTCCAACGACTCCAATCGCTTATCATTGGAAAGTCACCTGAAGCCGGTGCTGCTGATACCACGATTAACTTTCCACCGTCTATGATATGGGAACTTCTCGATCCTATCATTCACAATATCAGACAATCCACAAACCGCTCTGTATCTACAGAGGGTCTTCCTTACGTCAGTATACACGTCACAACAGACTTCTTGCATCCTCTGGCGGATGACGAAGGTGATCAGGCGTTGGGTCACTTCAATTGGGAAGACAGTCTCATGTATGGGAATGACCTGTTGCAGGACAATTGCCCGTCATCGCTTGTCCCCTTTGATTTTAATGTAACATAGTCTCGCGCTGCGAGAATAGCTATTTTTTGTATCTCGCAGGTGACAATAGTGAATGGGAAAAGCGGTAGTACCTGAATAATTGGCATCGGGAAACGGCATTTAACAGCTCCGATTAGTTTACCAGGTCGGAATGTGCCGTGACCCAGACCAACGCTAATTGTAAACCCGCCCATATCCATCACCTGTCATAATCACGCAACGATAGAGCTAGCGCAAGGTCAAAAAAGGTTCGACAAGCCTCGTGATTTGCGAAATGGCATGCAAAGTCTAAGAGCGAAGAGAGTTATTGCCGGTAGCCCGATTATGACAATTCACTTAGCTTATCTTGCAGCGCCATCTACTGTGACGTAGTCACGATCTTCTGGAAAGCGTCAAGTCGGCCCACTGTCAGAAGCTAATTACATGTGATGGTCGGGTTGGGCTACCAAAACCTCGGGCACTAACAAATCGCCAACGGACTTGTCAACGATCAGATCATATCGTGGGAGAGAGTTTGCTTGCATCACGCAAGATGGAAATGAAGATAAATTAAAAGAGTTGGCCATGGTCGGTGAAATTATTCTTGATATAACCACCACATATAAACTTTACTTTATTCCAATATCTTCAGCAAACAACTCACTCTTCACTATGTATTACAGCAAAGGCAACTACGAAGCCTTTGCGCGACCACTCAAGCCCGAAGGCATTGAGTCCAAAACGGCATGGATTGTCGGCTCTGGCCTCGCTGGTCTTTCAACTGCCGCATTCCTTGTGCGCGATGCTCAAATGCCAGGAGAGAACATCACCATCCTGGAAGAACTCAAGATCCCAGGCGGTGCCTTAGATGGCATCAAGGAACCCGAGAAAGGGTTCGTCATCCGCGGTGGTCGCGAGATGGAATCTCACTTCGAGTGCCTTTGGGATCTCTTCCGTTCTGTTCCCTCGATTGAGGAGAAGGGAGCTAGTGTTCTTGATGAGTTTTATTGGCTCAACAAGAGAGATCCGAACTTCTCGCTCCAGCGCGCCACGATCAAGCAAGGTCAAGATGCAGAGACTGGGAAGCTGTTTACCCTGACCGAAAAGGCCCAATCAGAGATGACGAGGCTTTTCCTTGCTACTAGAGCTGAAGTTGAAAACAAGCGTATTGACGAAGTCTTCGGCGAGGACTTTTTCAAGAGTAACTTTTGGCTCTACTGGCAGACCATGTTTGCTTTTCAGACCTGGCACTCTGCTTTGGAGATGAAGCTGTATCTCCATCGTTTTGTCAACCATATCAAAGGCATGCCTGACTTTTCGACCCTCAAATTCACAAAATACAACCAATACGAGTCTCTTGTGCTGCCATTGCATAAATGGCTTGAGGATCAGGGTGTTGTGTTTCAGTATGGCACCGAGGTTCAAGATGTTGACTTCAACATTGAGGAGAACAAGAAGACTGCAACTTTCATTCATTGGATCAGAGACGGAGAGAACGGCGGTCAGTCCCTGGGAGTCAACGACCTCGTCTTCATGACTATTGGTTCCTTGACGGAGAACTCTGGCTTAGGTGATCAACATACCCCAGCTAAACTCCATGATGGTCCAGCTCCCGCCTGGGACTTGTGGCGTCGTATCGCAGCCAAAGACCCCTCTTTTGGCCGCCCTGAGGTTTTCTGCGACAACATCCCTGCGACAAAGTGGATGTCAGCGACTGTCACGACTTTAGACAAACGTGTTCCTGAGTATATCCAGAAGATCTGCAAGCGAGACCCTTTCAGCGGAAAAGTCGTAACTGGAGGTATTGTCACAGTCCGTGATTCTAGCTGGATCATGAGCTGGACGGTCAATCGCCAGCCTCACTTCAAGAACCAGCCCAAGGATCAAATTGTTGTTTGGGTCTACGGCTTACTTGTCGAAAAGAACGGCGACTACGTTAAGAAGCCTATGCAAGATTGCACTGGCGAGGAGATCACCCAGGAGTGGCTGTATCACATGGGAGTCCCAGAGAGCGACATCCCTGTTCTTGCGGCTGAAGGCGCCAAATGCGTCCCAGTAATGATGCCATATGTCACATCCTTCTTCATGCCACGAAAGGCGGGGGATCGTCCCGACATTGTTCCAGCCGGAGCAGAGAACTTTGCCTTCCTGGGGCAGTTTTCTGAGACAACACGCGATACTATCTTTACTACAGAGTATTCTGTTCGTACGGCTATGGAGTCGGTATATCAACTTACTGGAGTGGATCGTGGTGTTCCAGAGGTATTTGGTTCGACTTACGATGTGAGAGTTTTGCTTGACGCGATGTGTCAGTTACGAGATGGTAAGGAATTGGTGACGTGGCTGCCAGAGCGTATTCGAAGGTTTCTTGTCAACAAGCTGGAAGGTTCACAGATTGGCCAGTTGATGCATGAGTATCATCTTATTTAGTTGAGTATTATCGTGTAGAGTATATGTATTTATAGAGTTGAATTTTCTTGTTATCAAATAGGGACTCGCGGTTAAATGTCTCGACATCGTGTAGCGTTTTGGTTCAACCTCCGTGAAGAAACGGAGATGAGTCCCAGACTAATAGCAGCTGATAACCTAGTGCATCTATGGATCAAGAGCGGGCCTCGGGCCTCTGCCGTCTGGCAAGTTCTTATGCAAGGGATGCGTTCAAGGTCTTATGAGCTCTTCGTCACCGTAGACGGAGAAACAATCTCAACTCAGTGATGGCAGATAAATGGTTTTATCTGTGATTGACCAGCCCAACTCGCTAAGATGGATAAATAAGGTCACAGGACTACATACGGTCCAGGAATTGCGCTCTGCCTGCTAGGATGTTCACTAAATCAGTCATAAGCCACAAGGCTTACCCTGATCCAGGGGATTGTGAGATAGAGGCATGCCAATTCCGCCAATACCTTGAGTTTATTTTTAAGCTTATTCGTTGTTCCCACTCTAAGGCGTATTCGCGCCATGCGCTGTAAGCTGTCGGCAGATTAGGGGATTTGGTATGTGCTAAGAGGAGAGGCAGCTGAAAAGAAAGTCTTCGTCATGGTAGTTGCGGTCTGGACCCTGCGTAGACCACCAGCCGTCTTGGCATTTCAACTTGCCAAGACTTTACTGACTACCAAACAGTTCATCGCACATTATCATGAACACGAGAAAGTCATGTCAAATGTCAAGCGGCTGTCGCAAAGGGCCTAGCTCGACTATTGGGTGTAACGCCACCTAATCTCTGGCAGGTCGTATCGCCTAATGAATCCTCTTCTAAGCGACTTCCGCTTTCAAAGGGCTGAACGCTATCTGGAGACTATCGATCATGGTGGAGGCGCTACCTGCGCCATTGGGTTCAGCTTCATGGCGCCCTGGCGGTGACCAGATTTTAGAAAAGTCTCGAATTACGCGAGGCACTTTCACTTATTTACAGGGCGCTCATCGCAGGCATTGAGGGTGAGACTGTGCTGCATTCCTGTAAAGTCCACTCAACGATGAAATTCTCGCTTATTTTGGCTCCGCTGGTGCTGCTGAGTGATGTGGTTTCAGCGCAAAGCAGCTTGACCGACATCTGTACAGGCAGCGCCAATAATGGCTGTAAAACAACCATCACTGTACCAAACGGATTCAAGATCGTCAAGTCGAGCAAGAACGTTCGCTCTATTCAGTTCAACTACATCAAGGTCAACGTCTGCGATCAAATCCGCAAAGCCCTCGGCACAACACTCGGCAACAAATTTCTCAAGGCCCGGGATCCTATTTGCAATTGCTTCACTAAACTGCGCACTCTAAACTCTGAGGGCAAGTTTACGTCTTCCTCGGCTGGTAACTTTGACTTGGCGAATAACTACTATCTGGATCAGGCCGGGACCCTGGAGAAGGTATTGCTGCAAGGCGTTGCTTTGGAGTTTCTTTGCGCTGATCGAGTCTAGTGCTTGACAGATGGAGGTCTCAAATACTCACAAAGTCGTGATGCCACCTTGAACAAACTTAAGGCGACTGGCTGGCAAGTCGTCCTAGGAGCTGATGTACGTATCCGTTCTATACCACACATGGCTTAACTAACATGTATCAGATGGCCCGTGGAACCTTTCGTGCCATAATCTCCGTTATCCATCCCTGCCGAGTCATAGGTGTCTGCAACTCTGAACAGATTTACGCTGTCTTCAGCAATTACCTTACCGCCTCCTACAAACTTCTCCTTGGGCCTATCATTCCTATACTCAACCGTTGGAGAGACAACCTAGACCTTATTACCAAGTCCACTGGCTACGTCATGACTGCTACGGACAACGCTAAAGAAGCCTTTAATGGGGTTGAGTATATCCTCAGCGGCTACTACGACTCCATCTGCACTGGAATGGGCTACTGCGGGAGCAATCGCCCAAATATTCGAAGGTTCATGACAGATGTGCAAACCGTCATCAATTTGTCCGACAAGCTCAGCACAGGCAGACAGATATTCAGCTTCAACACCAAGACGAAGAGTTTGTTAGATGATGTCAACAAGCTCAGGTCAAACTGGGCTTATATCCCTCCCGCGAATGAAATGATCAGCAAGATTCGGAACAACGACATCAAAGTCACGAAGGACGTCTTCAAGTTTATGCCCGTGGTTAGTGGGATGTCAACTACCTCTAAGAAGGTAGCCACTGAGCTTGGCCCTTTGAAGTCGTTTGTCGCCGAATATCTGGCGGATTCTAAAGCACTTCACGAGCTCATCACCCGTATGCTGGCCATAGACTGGGAGAAGGTCAACCAGGGGGAGTTTGACAACACTGACCAGACTGGCTATTACGTACGCAATGGGCTCATCGCGATCCAGGAAAACATGAAGAAAGAACTGGCCGAGGCAGTAAAGGTCTACTTCTGGCTCATCAGGGCAACCGACTCTCAGTTGAAGGACTTCACCCTGACGAATGGTCGCCGGAAGATGGAGTATGGCACTGTGGCGTACCAGCGATGGAGCACTATTGATATAGACATGCCATGCACCAAGATAACCAGCACGACGGCCAAGAAGGATGGTCTGACGAAGACATCGAACAAATATCGGACCT